GGACCGTTGTATTTGAACGATCCAAAAACATATTGGGCTTAATGCGTTTTATCCGAATTTTTCAAAAATACTAAAATTTTTTTTTTATATTTCAAATATTTCGGGCATTCATTTCATTCGGTTCGAAAATCTGATACATATTTTGAACCTATTCGAATATTTTAAAAAATTGGTTCGGTTCAGTTTTTGAATTTCAGCTTTTTTGCCCAGGACTAGCTGCAATGGTGCACTTGAACTTTTTAGAATCATGTAAAACTTAAGTAGGCTAAAAGTTGATGTGTATATAAATAGGTAAAAAAATTAGAAAAACCATTAACCTATATTCTTTTAGTACTAATATTTTTTGGTGATTGATATGTATACATTTATTGACAATTAACTTCTAGCAACTAATTATAATGCTAAGTTTGTCAATGAACATCTAAGATAGTGGTATTTCGTAAAATATAGATAAATTATTAGTATTATTGAAAAATTACTACATTTATCATGTTTTTACCAATCGAATATAAGTTCTAAGATTGCATTCCCTTTTTAACCAACACTTAGTCTGTCTAATTTGCATGATCCGTTTTTTACCGTTTAACTTGGAACTATTTGTAGATGGTAATTGTTGGGTCAATACGTAAGGACTAAGGTGTATTCGAAGGAACTCACAGATGAAACAAGAAATGATGAGGAAGATAAGGACAAAGATTTATGAATACTAGGAATGACGTGTTGACTAAGCACAACATGCAATGTATATACCAAACATACATCTTCTTCTTGTTAATTAATTTTGTTTGGTTTTTTTTACATACACCAATCTTTTCTAAAATTTAAGTGTATTTCACGATGTTTAAAGGTTCTCTTTATTCTTACTTTTTTTCTTCAAAATATTATGTCGCTCTTTGTTTTTTGTCGCGCGTTTTGTCTCTTCTTAACTCATCAGAACATGATTTGTTTCTCTCTTTTATTTATTTAACAGAAAACGTTATAAATATAGAGAGAGGGTCGTAAATGGAAAAGAAAAATATAAACAATTCACCGACATGCACAGCAAAACGACATGAACCGAGTTTCTTTCTTGATAGCTTGATAGTTGGTTGGGCAGCTTTGCAATGTACGCACGACCACGTCCACAAGTTGGAAACTTCTTTACCGTCGTGAACACCACTCTTTCATTATTTTTCGTTTAGCAAAAAAAAAAAAAACACCACTC